GGTCAGCGTTGTGGGGGCAGAGAGGTGTCTCACAGGATTCTGGGAGAGGTTTTGGACAGCTGGCCTGGGTCAAGGCAGGTAGCCAGAGGATTGTGGTGACTTTGAGAAGTGGAAGGGGCTTACATCTACTTGTTTGGCTTAGGGACCCAGTGGGTGGGGGTAGTGTGGGTGATGTGGGTCTGTGAGGATCCGGCTCTCTGGGGCTCTGGAGTCATAAATGGGAGAGTGGACAGCAAATGGCTTTTGGGGTTGAGATTACATCAGGCTAGTCACTACACTCTGCCATAGCATCCTTAGTTGCACCAAGTGCTAAATTTTAGGCTGCAGGTAGGTACACTGGCCACATCCCAGCTGAGGACAGCCTCAGACAATGACATGTGATGGAAGGCCATGTAACCTACACTGCCTTGTGGCCGAGCTTTGCAGCTCCTCCCTATGGCAGGATTGAGCCTTGGAAGTCCAGTCTCCAGGCAGCTTCCTGCAGGCTTGCCTCCCCAACTTTTGGAACCTTGAGTTTTTCACATAGCCCTGCAAGAGGTGGTTGTCTATTAGCAGATGAGACTAAGGGTCGTGGAGACCACTGCTTGGGTTGATTGGTCCCTGTTCTTTTCTGTCTGTGAGTTGGAGGTGGGAAAGATGAGATTCCTGGGATTCTCCCCCAACATACCTTGCCAGGTGGGTCCGGCCCAATTACAGCCATCAGGCATCTTGCAAACCATATTTTAATTACCCAGTTTCTGCCAAGAGGAAATTGCTAGTTGCTTTTCTAGTATCAGATTCTTCCTGGCCTTTCAGAGAATGGTCCCTGGAAGGGGCCTGGAACCTTACCCCAACCTGAAGAGGAGGGAATCTTGTGGCAGTCCATGAGTGGGGAAAAAAATGGTCTGGGAGCTTATGTCTCTCAGGGCCTCAGCCATTTGGCTCTGATCAGGAAGGAGAGGATGGCAGAGGCTCCCGCCCCTTGCACAGCCCCTCCTAGTACCACCCTGCCTCCTGGAGGGCTGGGAACAGGCTAGGCAACTGTGTCTCAGGAGGAGGGGGATGCCTGGGAGGTCCCAGCCCTGTGCATGGCCAGCTCGCTGGCTGCTGACCCTGTCCTCTGCTTGTCCACCCGCCCATGGTCCTGTTCTCCTCCCACCCCCACACCCAGTCTGGAGACCAGGAATTGGCTCAGTCAGTGCACCCTCACTTCACAGAAAGGGATGTGAAGGCTGCCATCTTGGGATCGGCATAGCAGGGAACTCTTTTCCCTCATTTCAGGCTAAGCTGGGCAGTCCCTTGCCTCTGGGCAGCTAGGGCGCGTGCCGGCCTTGGCAAGCATCCTGAGCAGCCCAGAAATCCACCCCAGTGCCCCCGCCTGCCCTCAGCCTGGAGAATGGACCCTTTGTTGGTTCCAGGCTGGACAGACAGCTGACCTGGTCGGGCTGTCAGCTGCCTGCCCACAGCAGTTGGCCAGGGCCATGCAGTGATAAGTGCAAGGCCAGCCAATTGGGCCAGTCTGGGGCTGGGGCTTCTAGGGCCATGGGCCACCCACCTACCCCTAACTGTCTCCCCTTGGTCCTGGACATGGCTCCCTCTACAGGGATCTGGGGGTAAACGAGTGAACCTGCTCCCAGCTCATCTGTGGGGAAGGCAGAAGATGCCAGTGGTGGTGGTGTTAGGTGCTTGGCCCATGATAAGCACCTTGCCTGGCCCTGGCTGTAAGAGGTCTTCAGGGCCTGGCCCTCCCTGGGTGCTGATAGCCTTTTGCCTTGGCTCAGAATCCAGGGGACTCCCCAGTACAGAGGAACAGGGGAGACCAGGGGAGAAGTGGACAGGGCTGGAAAGCCCAGGAGGAAGTTGGATTGTGGTGACTATGCCTCTGGGCCAGAGCTGTGGGTGGGTCAGTAACCAGCCCTGGTGCAGCCTGGGAGATGTGCCCAGGGAGGCTAGACAGCTTCACTAAAGCCATCTGGGTAGATGGAGGGCTCCTTTCTCAGCAAGGATGGGGAAGGGCACTATGGCAAAGGGACCTCTGTGGGCAGGGCTGGGTTTGGGCCCTGAGTTTTTTTTGTGGTGAGAGGTATGAAGGAGAGCGGTCGCAGCCACTCCTGAAACGGTCTGGTGGTCTTTGGGGAAAGGTTTGCCAAGCACAGAGGTGACTGCTGGAGGTAGAGGGGAACACGGGGGACTCCAGAGGTCTCTTGTGTGCTCTTGCAGGCCCAGCTGCCCCAAGTAGGTGGCCCTAGAGTGGACAGCTGTGGGTGCGGGTGTGGTGTGGTGTAGTGTGGTGTCGGCATCTCACTGCTGGTGGCATGTTTCCCCGATGTTCTGCCAGAGGTCTGGCCTGGCCTGCCCTGGAAGCTCATTCTCCCTGGAATGCCCTCCTGGTGGCATGCTGCATCCATCTTCCCACTTTTGGGGCAGACTCTTTGTCCCCAGGTGCAGTTGGCCCAGGGCCCTGGTGAGTCTCCATTTACCTGTTTGTGCCACACAAGCCCTGAAACCTGAAAAACAGTTGGATGCAGCAGGCATAGCCCCAGGACTGGTCATTCCTAGCCAGACCCCTGACTGCCGTGTGTGTGCATGCAGGAGCCCTGCTGAGCTTGAACCATGGCTACTCAGTGCACAGCATGGAGCTATCACCCATGTCACGTCTACCCTCTGGCCTGTGGGCCAGGCCTCCTGACATCCCCTTTGCTCTGTGCCCTTTAGAAAAGCCCCATCTCCCTGGAACCTGCCTGTGTGTGTTTAAGGACTAAGGGCTGTCCAGTGTCAGGCAGGTGGATGGACAGATGAGATGCATGCTTCCTGACGCAGCTGTCACAGTGCCACCTGTCAGAGTTGGCACACTGCCGGCCTAGGGTTGGGAGCATTCGGAGCCCGTGCCTGGCTTGCCTCCTCTCTCCCACTTTCTCAAGGATCCTGGGGAGGAGACCCACTCTCTGCTCTCACCCTGCCATGCCTCAGAGCTGGTGTGCCCCCTGGATGTGATATCATTGCCTCAGCCCATGCCCTCATCCATGAGAGGGAGGGGCATGCAGGACTGGCCAGGTGGGTGTTCAGACTGGCACCTTTGGCCGCTGATGGTCCGAGTGGGAGAGCTTGGGGCCCCTCAGTGTCCCTATTCAGCAAATATATCAAGAGTGTCCCCTGTCAAGGACCTGGGGGCAAGCATTCCCCAGTGAGAGAGATCAGGCTGGGGTGTTGGGGAGAGGCTATAGGCCTGGCACTTAGAGATGGGGTCAGGTTTGGGCTTCTTGGTGCTATTGGAGGTGTCTGCAGGGATGGGGGCAAGGGAGGGCCAGGACTTGGGGAGAAATCCAGAGTCCTGATTTTAATCATTTGGGTTAAGACAGTCTGTCTGAGCTCAGTCTCCATTATTGCCCTGCCTTGCCCTCCTGTCTCCTGCTCCCTGGCGATTGTCCAGGCTGGCCTTGGCCAGGCCTTTGTGACTGGCTGCTGGAGTTTGGTGATTGCTGTGGGGCCTGGCTACCTTGTGTCCTCCTGTTTGGCACTCTGTCCTGGTCATCATTTCATCCTCAAAAAAGCTTTGGTGTGGGGAGGGCTGTCTGTCATTCCCCTTTGACAGGTAGGGAAACTGAGGTTCAGCACCCTATCAGGGTCACACAATTGGGGGCTGGGCTCAGGCAGTGTGGGTCCAAAGACTCTCCTGGGCCTAGTCAGCTCCAGGATATCCAAGCTCCCAAGTAGGCAGGAGGTTTATGGGAGTTGGCTGGCTGCAGGTTGGGATCCAGTCCATTTTCCACTCACAGGGGCTCTGAGACTGGGAGCCACTCACCTGGTTCCTTCCTCCCAGAATCAGGTTGGAGCCATTTTGGCAGCTCTAGGCCCAACCCAGGTTCACTGCCCACTGCCCAGCACTGGGCTCTGCTCTTGATCTGCTTTGACTTAAGCCTGCCTGCCTAGCTAGGAGGCAGCTGAGAGGATGTACAGCTGAGCAGATGTTGGGGGGTGGCTCTGGGCTCTCAGGAATGCGGCCCTCCCAGTCTCCTGCAGCCAGCCTTCTCCGACCCAGAGACACAGTGCCCCACCCTGGCTGGCTACCCTTACTCAGACCCTATTGGAGCTGGTCTGAGCCTGGGGCTTTTACCTGCCCCGCAGCCCACCCCAGTCATTCAACCCTGTTCCATCAGTGTGGGGGTACAAAGCAGGGGCTAAGCCCTGGCCCAGGCCCTGCTCCTGAGGTGGAGATGGAGAGGTGGACTGGACACCCTGGTTAGAGCCAGAGCCAGGAGGGTCCTGAGCTGAACCAGCAGCCCTGTGCCCTGGGAGCCTGCCCAGACCAGCTGAGATGGGCAGGTGTTGCCCCATGAGTCCCATCTCTGGAAAGCCCCCTGGGTCTCCCTGTTAATTAAATACATTTGTTTGGTAAAAGCAACTAAAAATACTTATAGTGTTGCAAGCTGGAGAGAAGAGCTGGCTAATTAATGCCTGGTTTGTTTGGTATCTGAAATATGCCTTCCTCTGGGGATGTGCCCCAACTCCAGGATGCCCTGGGGCTCAGCCCATCACACTCAAAACAGCCTTCTCGCCCTGGAGGTTCCAGGGGTCTCACTTCTTAGCCTTCTTAGCTGTATTTGGACCTCCCACACTCCCTGCAGACCCCTCTTTTCCTCCCTCCCAAATATCCCCTCCTCTGAGAGTCCCAGCCTGTCCCAGGGAAGATGGTGCACTTTCAGGGGTACCTGCCACCTTTGCATTGGATATGGCTGTGCAGCTCGATGGTGGGTAAGGGGTGGAGGGCTGTTGTTCTTCCCAATCTCGGAAGACCCCTCATCCCTGGGCTGTGACCTCTGTTGACTGATGAAGGGGCCAGGCCGGGGCCAGCTCACCAGTATGCAGTTTGTCATGCACAGGCTGCTTGGTTTGAGGTGGGGGTTCTTATAGGGCTTTTGGGGGATGGCTAGGGGAGGGGCTTGGGACCCCCACCTTAAGTGGGTATAGGGCTAGGGCACAAAGACATCGGCACAGCTTCTCTCAGGCCCTCACTGCCACAGATCCTGGTGGACCTGGCTAACCCTGGCGGCCGTCCAGCCCTGGCCTACGAGAGTGTGGTGGCCCAAGAGGGTAGTCCCATCCTTCGTGACCTGATCCTCAGCCCTGACAGCCAATACCTCTACGCCATGACAGAAAAGCAGGTGAGTGCTACACTGCTGGATACATGTGGGTAGGCCTACCCTGGAGAGCTGCACATGGCTGCCGTGGGCCCACACCGTCCATGCTGTCTCTAGGTTCTCCTGGGCCAGGTTTAGAATTCCCACCCCTTCCTGAATGACTTCATATCCACAGGAACAAATATTTCAATGAGAGTATTATCAAGGTATTGGGGTCACTACACGGTTTGGGATGTGCCTCTGGGACCCTGAATTCTCAGACTGTGACCTGGCCCAGCACTGGCCCCATCTACCTGGCGGGGACTTTGGACAGCAGCCTTTATGGGACCTGTGGCTGGCCTGGCCCAGCTTGTCAAGGCCATATGCTTGTGTTCATAGTCTGGCCTGTTTGCGGCTGTCCTCCGAATTTCTACTCTACCTGTTGAACCATGGCAGTTGGAGTAAGGAAGATTTGGAGGCAGGTGGAAAAGACAAGACCTCCCTTCCTTCTTGGCCAGCTCTCACTTCTCTTCTGCACCTCTCTGGCCCAGTTCTTCTGCCTCTCTGGGGACCTCAGAGCCAACCAAGCAGGCGAGGTTGAGGCAAACGGAGCCCTGCCTGCCTTTGTGCTTAAGATTGGGACCAACAAGCCATGGCTCCCCCGGAACCTTGGAGTCCAGACAGATGGGAGAATAACTGGCTGGAGCGGTTAGTTCTTTGGGTTGCTCACCTGTACCAACTTGCTCACTCCCTTGCCGTCACCACCTTGAGCTCCAAGGGAGAGGCCTGACTCATACCAGGCCATGTCATCCAGGACTGGCTTTTGAAGAGACTTAACTAGAGGAAGTCCCAAGATGGGAGTATCCCTGGAATATGTGTTCAAGGGGGCACATGGTGGTGCTGAGGTGATCTGGCAGGTGTCCCTGTAAGGGCCTGGTGGAGGCCTGACACAGAGTCCTCTCCTACCAGGTGACACGAGTGCCCGTGGAGAGCTGTGTGCAGTATAGGTCGTGTGAGCTGTGCCTGGGCTCTCGAGACCCCCACTGTGGCTGGTGTGTCCTGCATAGCATGTGAGTCTGGATAGAGATGGGGGTGGGCAGGAGGCCCTGGCTCTCCCTGCCTTGGGAGGGCCCCAAATGGCCTTGTTGTGCACCTCAGGTGGTCACAGCTCACCTCCGAGCTCCTCTGGGTTTCCTGTGGGCAAGGTGCCTTGGGTTTGGTGGTTTCCTGTGACCAGCTGAATGGCGGCCAGCCCAGCTACATCCCAGTAAAAACAGGGTACAGTGAAGCTGGTGGGCTTCCCCAAGTGCAGGCGTTAGCTCTGCTGAGCAGAGGCTAGGTGTTGGGTTGCTCCTCGGGCCTCCCTGCTTGCGCCAAGCCCAGGTTCCTCTGCCTGCAGGTGCTCCCGTCGGGATGCCTGTGAGCGGGCAGATGAGCCTCAGCGCTTTGCCTCAGACCTACTGCAGTGTGTGCAGCTGACTGTGCAGCCTCGCAATGTCTCTGTCACCATGTCCCAGGTCCCAGTGAGTGTGGCCACCCTTTGAGGGCTGAGGGATGGGTTGGGTGACAGGACTGCATTCACTCATGCCTCCTGCCATGGGTGCCCCAGCTCGTGTTGCAGGCCTGGAATGTGCCTGACCTCTCAGCTGGCGTCAACTGCTCCTTCGAGGACTTCACTGAGTCTGAGAGCATCCTGGAGGATGGCCGCATCCACTGTCACTCACCATCCTCTGGGGAGGTGGCGCCCATCACTCAGGGCCAGGGTAAGTGCACCACAGCTGGGTGTCTGAAGGGGCCTCCTGCTGAGGAGGTGGACTGTCATTGGGGACAGAACAGGTGTCACATGGTGTCCAAGGAAGATGGCAAGGTAAAGAGCAGATGCTAAATGGGAGTAGTATAGGCAGGAGGCAGGAACCGCAGGTGCAAAGATGCAGGGGGCCCACTTGATGTTCTCAGGAGTACACAAGCTGGAGGGGTTGAGGTGCAGCCAGGGACTGTGTACTTGGTGGTTGGGATGGTCCTTGGTGAGATCATTTCCTGTTCAGGTATTGCCCTACATAGGAGTCCTGGGTTTAGTGGTTTCAGGTGGCCCTGGTAACTTGAGCCTATGCTGCCCTACAGGAGACCAGCGGGTGGTAAAGCTCTTCCTGAAGTCTAAGGAGACGGGCAAGAAGTTTGCATCTGTGGACTTTGTCTTCTACAACTGCAGTGTCCACCAGTCGTGAGTGTTTCAGGCCTCGTGCATGGGCAGGGCAGGCATGGCCCAGTGGTCAGGGTGGGAGGCGAGTTCTGCCATGAGAGCAGTCCCCTGGGCAGAGGGATCAGATGAGCCTAAGGCTGGTGTAGTGGTCAGAGCAGGTTGGGTGGTTGTGAGTGACATGTATCAGTTCACACCTAGAGAGCCTTGGCTCTTAGCCTTGGTGTGAGGAATGACCTGTGGGCACCGGAGCAAGGCAGGGAACTCAGGGGTCGGGAGAGGGAGTCAGGCTGTGTTGTCTAGATGGGAAATGGTGTACCATGGGACAGATTATTTAGCACCTGCTGTTCTGGGACAGGTGGAAGCTCGGGTTCTCTCTGGCTCATGCTGTCCCAGGTGTGGGCTGGGGGTTGGAGAGGCTGGGGCACAGAAAACCAGGATAGGAGCTCTCCCTGGTGCTGGCTTGGTGCTTGTCTGCTGCCTGTCTTAGCTGTGAGTAGCAGGAAGAATGGGAGGCTGAGGACCTACTGTTCATTCTGCCATGGGCTGGGACACTGGGCCTAGATCCATGACCTTGAGGGTGCCCAGCCTTGGAAGGAGGGGATTGAGCATCTCAGGAGAAGCCCAGTAGCTGGCAGGTTGGCAGGTCCTCTAGACAGCTGGTGGCATTTGCCTGGGGGTGAGGGGGCCATGGAGACTGTAGAGATGAGGTGCCTGTCATATGAAGCTGCAGGGGCAGGAGCACTGAAGGAGCCCTGTCCAAGCTCTGAGGACATGTCAGAATGAATGGAACAAGCTCCTGCCAGGTGGAGCCTGCAGAGTGGTGGATATGTACCATAGCTCCATCCCCCAAAATTTAAATCTAAGACAAGACAGGATTTAATGTGTAGCTCCTTAGTTTCACTAACACATTTACAGTGATAATTGTCATGTGTGTCCAGTGGTCACTGCAGTGGACAGTGTAGACTTTAGACATGCCCATCACGAGGAAGGCCCTATGGGGTGATGCTAGGGTGGACTGTCAAGTGATTAAGGGTCTGGAGAAAGAGAAGTAAAGGAGGGAGGGAAGCACCAGCCAGTGCAGAGGCTCTGGGGTGGTCCTGTAATCAACCACTGAAGGAACAGCAGGGAGGTGGTGTGGTGTGCCCTGTATGGCAACTGGTGGAGGCACCTGATGCCCAGCCTCACTGTCCCACTCCCCCCTTGCAGCTGCCTGTCGTGTGTCAATGGCTCTTTCCCCTGCCACTGGTGCAAATACCGCCACGTGTGCACACACAATGTTGCCGATTGCGCCTTCCTGGAGGGCCGTGTCAATGTGTCTGAGGTAAGGCCACCTTGGAGGGGCGCAGGGTTTCGGAGGTGTAGCAGAACTAGGTGTCACCTGTGGGTGGGCCTGGGAGAGCTCCTCTGGGTAGCTGGGATGCCAACCAAGAGGTCTGTGAGATTGGGGACATCCTTTGTGGCTGTCCTGGCCTGAGGCCAGCCAGTGTCATTTGTTGGTGGTCATGGGGTCTCTTTTGTGACTTTTAGGGGAGGCGCAGAAGCCTCAGACCTGCTGGCCCCACCCCCGGAGGCATTGTAGAGAGGGGACTGTCCATGCAGGACAATGGGAGCCTGGAATGTGAGATGTCTGGCTAAGTGGACCCAGTGCCCTGAGTTCATGTGGACAAGGGAATGTGTCAGATTGACCTGCAAAGAGCTGGTCAGGTCCTTGGACCCTTCTGAGGTCCTGCATGGTACTGATAATAATTAGGTCATAATTATTTGGAGCCTGAGCAAGGTACTGGCCTTATTTATGAGCAGTAGGACTGTTACTCCTGGAACCCAGGCTCTCAGAACTAGGATGGGCAGACCTGGAACCTGCCAGGCAAGTGCAGAGCCGGAACTTGAAACCAAGGCCCTATTCTTTGCAGTGACACCATGCCTGTTGGTGGGACAGGGCAAGAGGGTGTCGGTCCTGCTGGCTTTGGGGCACTTGGTGGCTATAGGTGGCCTGAACTTCTGTGGACAGTCCAGGGTAAGAGGAAATGCAGCATGCACAGGGCCCCTGCCGTACTGTGGGCCCTCTTCACAGAGCTTCTCCTGGACCTTTGTTGCACATCATGGGACAAGATGGCAGTGTGGGGTAGGCTGAGAGCAGGCAGGGATTGAAGGCATCTAGGCATGACAGTGTCTGTGAGAGTGGGTGGGCAGGGGCCTTGGGGCATCAAGAAGTTGGTGGGGCTGATCTCAGTGGGATTAGTGACTGGGGAGGGCCTGTTGTGGGTCTTGATGGCCGAGGGAAGTAGAGCAGCAAGTGTAAACCCCTCCCAAAGAATCTGCTCGTGCAAGGCTAAACTGGTAGCTATTCCGAGTTCTGGGAGGGTTATTGGGGGATGGATTTATTCCACAGATATTCCCTCTTAAACTGTAGTCCCAGGTTTTGTGGGTACGTTTATAAGGAGTATAACATATGCACAGACTTGTTGTTTGGAAAGACTTGGGCTCCCAGCCCAGGCCTCCCCTTCCCATCTCTAGTTTGGGTTAGGCTCCTCTGGGGCCTTCCCTCACTCAGGAGCATGCTTACGCTATGGTGTCTTGGTTCCCTACCCCATTGGAAGGAGTTCCCAAGAACCCCACTGCTTGCCTCGTCCTTGTACTCTCACATTTGCTTGGGTTGTTTGAGGTAGAAGCCACCAGAGCATGTTAGGAAAGAGCATTTAGGAGGCAGCTGGTGCCAGGTTGAATGCCTGGCAAGGGTTCCTTGTAGAGCACCCCCCAAGCAGAGCCCACACTCACTCCGAGGTGGCCCAAACCTAGAAGCCAGGGCTTTCTGCTAGGAATGCTGGGTCATGTGCCTTCCCTTCTGATGGCCTCCACACCAGGAAGGATTTGCCGTGGTCATGGTGTCCCTAGAAGTGAAATAGAGGGACAGTCTTCTAAATTCTTACTTTATCTGTATAAGCAGAAGAGTTCTAGATCAAGTGAATAAAGGTCTAACTTAAGTCATATAAAGAGTCGTGGCCCCTCACTCACTTTTTATACTTGAGTCAGTTTACATACCCAGAGCCCCTTAAATGTGGGAAGACGGATCCCCTCAAGGTAGAGCCCTGGTTTGCTGTTCCACACTGCTCGTCTTTCTCCCAGCTCAGCCTGATGTCAGGCCACTCATGGGGTCTGAAAGGAATGTCAGAACCCTGAGCTGACCCCTCTTCATGGCTGAGGTCCCAAGGTGCCAAAACCCAGTCAGAGAAACTAGCTGCAGGTCACAGAGCCTACACCCTGATTGACAGTGGCACTGGTCTCCTGGACAGCCAAGATAGTGTCTGTGCAAAGTGGAGGTGTGAGGTGGGGGAATGGTGAGAACAGTCATGGTGGCCAGGACGAACCAGGGTTATTGGGAGGTCCATGAGGGACAGCCAGTCTGGGGAGGCAGCAGGAAGATCCCTGGGCCTGGAGACTGGGCTTAGCAACCCTTCAAATGGCCAGGAGAATGCTGGCATAGGTGAGGGCCCCTGAAGGCATTGCTAGTGGCTCTCCATTCACAGCACCATCACCTGCCTCTCCCTGGTGGAGACTGGGTCATCCTGTAGACCAGGGAATGTGGTCAGCCTTCCTGGCCATACCCTGCTGTCTGCTGCTCCAATGTCTTTTAAAGGCCTCAAAAACCTCTGCAGAGCCAGGCTTGGGCCTGGGCTGTGTTGGGAGATATTGCAGGCCTTAGGGATTATGGCCTGTTTTCAGCATCTCTATTTAAAGCCCAGCTCAGTGGCGTGCCTCTGGGTCTGTCTTCTCCTGTGGCTGCTCTCAGTGTGCTGCAAGGGAGCTGGGCTGTTGCATCAGTTATTGTTGCTGAAATGCTGGCCCTGGGGGCCCCGACTATTTTTCTGCCTGGCTATTTTTACGTGCTTTCCAGGCCCCAGCAGAGCTTACAGCCTCAGCATCTCGCTCTTGGCTGCTTGTGTCTCAAGGGCCTTTTCAGCTGTGGGCCAGATGGGACCTCTTGGTTGCTGAATGGTGGGGTCCTAGAACACTAGACATGGCGCTCTGGGTCCAGAGGGGAGAGGCCCTGCCCAGGGCACAGAAAGCAGTCATGCATCCTGGCAGGTGTAGAACCCAGGCCTCTTGCCTTCTGGTCCAGCTGGCTATTTCTGAGGTTCTCAGTCTACCTGTGTATAAAGTGGGCACAGTGGTAGCTTTCCCTGGAGAAGCACAGGCTGTGCACATAGATTGTAGTCTGGGCTACAATGGGATACATCCTGCTCACTGGCCCCCTCCTATGTGCTCAGCTGAAGCCTTGTCACCCTCAGGACTGCCCGCAGATCCTGCCCTCCACGCAGATCTACGTGCCAGTGGGTGTGGTGAAGCCCATCACCCTTACTGCCCGGAACCTGCCGCAGCCACAGTCAGGCCAGCGTGGGTATGAGTGCCTCTTTCATATCCCAGGAAGCCCGGCCCGCGTCACCGCTCTGCGCTTCAACAGCTCTAGCCTGCAGTGCCAGAACTCTTCGGTAAGGCTGGGTGGAGCTGGCAGGGGATTTTAGGGACCCCTTCTGCTAGACTGGGCTGGTCATACTCACAGCTGTAGGATGTGTTTTCTGCTAATGAGCTAAAGGACAGGGTACAGTCAGGTGTTCAGAGGCACTTCAAGCTCCCAAGGTGAGTGTCAAGCCCCTCAGGCATGCCTGGGTATGCAGGTGGGGCACTGCCAAGAGCCACCCAGATGTTTAGAGGAAGCACATCTCAGACATGGAATGGGCAACTTAGATGGGGTGAGATATGCAGACATGGCTTTGTGTGGGGTCTTCAGAACCTGGATGAGGAGGCCAGGTTAAAGGTATGTGGAAACGTCCATGTGCTGTCTTCGCCCAATGCTTCCAGGAGGGCCAAGGTCAGGGTGATAGTACCCAAGCACTCAGCTTCTTTTATATCTCCTGTGGCCAGACACAGAGACTGTTCCCAGCAGCCGTGCATGTGCACATTAGCAGGCAGGTGCTGCTCAAGTGCCAAGAAGCAGCCACATTTGGAGCCTTGAGTCTAATAGGATGACATTTTCAAAGCTTTTCATCAAGTCCAGTGAATTTAGTAACAATAATCTTTGCAAAGCTAAAAACTTTCCCTGGTGGGTGGGGAGGAGTGGTGGTCCCAAAAGGCCCTCTTTCAGTTTTTGTGACTGCTGGCAGGCCTCACTAGAATGTAGTCAGGAGAACAGTGGGTTTCCTACAGTGGCCAAAGCCCTGTTAGTGGGTGGTGCTTCTAGGTTCTCTACAAGGCCTGCGTTTGACCCACACCCCATAAAATCCCAGAAGAACTGCCATGAGGCACAAGTCTGTCTCCCCTTGCCAGTTGTGGTAGATAGAACCTTGGCAGACCTCTCCTGTTTTCTAGCAGGTGGGAGTGCTGGGCCTGAGTTCCTGAGGAGGGGCAGTATCTCTGAGCCTAGGGGTGGAAGGACCGAGCCTCACCTGACAGTGCTTTTGCCAGCCTATGCCCAGTGCATGGGGGCACCCAATTTGCACCTCTGAGCAGTCCCAGTGTAGGGATTATTCACAGAGCATCCCTGACAGAGGTGCAGCTGGGAAGTCCTGATTTCCTGGTAGGGCTGACTATGGGGCAGGAGTAGGGAGGTCTACCTAGAGGGTGCACCTCATGTGCTGCTGGAGACAGAGCAGAGCAGGGCCCATGGCCACCAGGAAGGAAGAACTAGGGTTGGGGGCTTGGAGGGAGAGCTGGGTGTGGCAGGAGAGGGTTAGTGCCCAGGTTGGTTGGTGGCCAGGTGTTTCTCTTGGGTATCTGGCTCTAGATTGGAAATGCCAGTCTGGAGAGGCAAAGCCCCCAGACTCTGCCCCACCAAGCTCACTCCCAGCCATCCACTTCCATAGGTGGTCAGGAGGGGCACACAAGCCCTGATCTGCCCACTGGGGTTTTGGCCTGACTGCTCTGCACAATGCCCACAGTACTCGTATGAAGGCAATGACATCAGCGACCTTCCTGTGAACCTGTCAGTGGTGTGGAACAGCAACTTCATCATTGATAATCCTCAGAACATCCAGGGTGAGCAAGGTAGGGTGGTACTGGGGGTGGGTTTGTGACTTGGCCCAGCTGACAGTGTTTCCCGGGACAGCCCACCTCTACAAATGTCCAGCCCTGCGGGAAAGCTGTGGCCTCTGCCTCAAAGCTGACCCTCGCTTTGAGTGTGGCTGGTGCGTGGCCGAACGCCGCTGCTCCCTGCGTCCACACTGCCCTACCGACTTTCCTGCTGCCTGGATGCATGCCCGTCATGGTAGCAGCCGTTGCACTGACCCCAAGATCCTTAAGGTAGGTGTACCTCTCTGCCCAGCGGCTTTCCTTGCACAGCCCCTCATAGCCTGGGATGGCCCTTGCTAGCCTCCCACCCTCTGTCTCCCCATAGCTGTCCCCAGAGACGGGCCCTCGGCAGGGAGGCACAAAGCTCACAATCTTGGGTGAGAACCTGGGCCTGCGCTTTGAGGATGTGCGGCTAGGCGTGCGTGTGGGCAAGGTGCTATGCAGCCCTTTGGAGAGCGAGTACATCAGTGCCGAGCAGTGAGTGCCTCTCGGGTTGGGTGGGAAGGCCCCAACACCCAGCTGGACCTTGCAACCTGCTGAGGCCCCTGGTGCCCCACAGGATTGTCTGCGAGATTGGAGATGCCAGCACAGTGCGGGCCCATGATGCCTTGGTGGAGGTGTGCGTGCGGGACTGTTCCCCCCAGTTCCGGGCCCTGTCACCCAAACGCTTCACTTTTGTGGTAAGCTCCACCCCACCCAGCCTGGAGCCCTCTCCTCCCATGAGGCCTGGGGGTGGGGGGAGGCTGTGAGGCCTGTTTTTTTAGGGGCTGGCTTGGCCCAAAGGCCACCTCAAGTGAGGGGCTCCTTGTCCTTCTGAGGGCCCCCACTTGAAGCAATACCTCTGTTCCTGGTCTCCATCTCCCCTCCTCATCTCAGGTCTGACTCCAGGTACCCCTGTACACTTGGGGCCCTGCCTATGGTCTGTGTCTGAGAGCCCATGAGAACAGGGCCTAGGCAAGGCTGGAGATGCAAGCAGGTCTGTAGGCCAAGGGGTAGGCCTTTTCTGGAGCTCCAGCAAGTTCCTTATTCTCATAGACTCCAACCTTCTACCGTGTGAGTCCTGCCCGGGGACCCCTTTCAGGTGGCACCTGGATTGGCATCGAGGGCAGCCACCTCAATGCAGGCAGTGATGTGGCCGTGTCTGTTGGTGGCCGGTCCTGCACCTTCTCCTGGTAAGAGGTGTGGATGGGGTTGGAGGTGGAGGGGTGGTGGTTGGTTCAGATTCAAATGGTTACATGTTGCCTCCCGTTGCCTGGGAAACATGGAGAGCATGGAAAGCCTGGCCAGGGTGATCACTATGGAAACCAGTGGTGAGAAGGTTACCATGGAGATAAGCTACCTTAGAGTGGGAAGGCCAGGTGGGCAGGGCCTGGGCCCGAGAGGCAGGCACAACCACCCTATCCTGTGCATGGGGGATCCCTTGGTAACACAATGTTTTGGTTTTCTTTTTAATTTGTAAAGAGGAAAAAATGTTAACAAAAGCACAGAGGCTTGAAGTGGGTAATTTTAGATTAGGGATGATAATAGAGCGGCCCTTTAAATATTTTCCTGTGGTAATTACCAGTTATCAGACTAATTATTGGTGTTTGCAGCCTTGCTGTACTTGCAGGTCTGGCGGCTTCAGGGCCTCCCAGCTGTGCTGAAAGAGCTGAGATGGGGACCCAGGTGCAGGTAGTGACTGGCTGGCTGCCCAGTGGGGGTGACCCAGTTCCCTCACTTCAGCCAGCTCATTTTGCCTATTCATGGTCCGGGCCCAGGCTTAGTCCCAGTTTCATATCAGGGTAGGCATATGCATGACTCAGTATAGCAAGAGTTGGCACTGAGCTTAGTACTCGGCTGTCCTGGCACGAGAAGCCACAGGCTAACACAGCAGGTGGGAAGGTCAGGGTCCCACAGGCTCTGTCCTGCCAGCCATCCCTGAGCTGCTGAAAAGCTATATTGAGGCCCCCTTGAGCTCCCTTACCACTCAGCAGCCTACCTGTGGTGGCTGGTCACCTGGAGAATGAGTGGGGCAGTCAGGATTGCTCCTTAGCTGGTGGGTCAGTAAGGTAGGGCCTCGGATACCAAGCAGGGCAGTTCAGAAGCAAAGGGCCTGGCTGGAGCCCAAGGTGGGCAAACAAGCACCTGACCCCGTGGAGGGGTTGATGGGAAAGTGGCTGTAACAGTCCTTAGGTCTTTGTGTGGCTCTGTTTTATAAGTGGGCATGTGAGTGTGAGGCCTGGGGAGTAACTTGCCCACAGACCTGTTTTCAATGGAACCTAGAAGCTTAACCCTCCTGGGAGGTGAGCGGCAGCACCCACATCCTCACTGTCATGCCTGCCCCTCTAGGAGGAATTCCCGGGAGATACGGTGTCTGACACCCCCCGGAACGAGCTCTGGTAATGTCTCCATCGTCATCAACATCAATCGTGCTCAACTTACCAACCCCGAGGTGACGTACAACTATACCGAGGACCCCACCATCCTGAAGATTGACCCCGAGTGGAGCATCAATAGGTGGGGCTGCTCCTGCCCACCCTGAGGTCCAAAGATCCCCTTCATCCCGTGGGATGCTGCCAAGGATGGAGCTCTTGCACTGGGTTCTCCTCTCCCTCCTTCCTTGTGTGGTCCTGCCACCAAACTTTTTGTTTGGAGGGACCAGTTAAATTTCTGGTGAAGTTTCCCTACAGTGGTGGTACCTGGCTCAGAGCTGAGCGGGGGCTGGCCAAACCCTTCCTGTGCTGCCTGAGTCTGTCTCTGTGGGTGGGAGTAGAAACAGCAAAGTTTAAGACTTTGGTCACTAGATGCTGTAGATGCAGCAACCTGGAAAATCACGTTAAGCAAAAATTTCGTTAAACTCTGATGTTGCGCTCTTAAAAGATAAAGAACAAGATAAGATGTTTGAGGCACAGCTCTAAGGATGATGGACCCCTGTCGACTCTGAGATGTGGTTGCTGTAATCTGAGTTCTGGTACTGAAATTGTAACCAGTTTACATCTTCTGGGAAACCGGAGGGTGTGTCTGGCCCTACCTGTTTGTGCGAGGCTGGGGCACAGCTTCACTTCATGACCCCTGTTCCTTCATTTTCCAGTGGAGGGACCCTTCTAACAGTCACAGGTACCAGCCTGACCACCGTCCGAGAACCCCGCATCCGGGCCAAGTACGGAGGTGTCGAGAGGGAGAATGTGAGTCCTTGTCCCTCCCCATTCCTAGTGCAACTCAAGCTACCTTGGCTGTTGCTATGCTTGGAAACCCCAGGGCAAGAAGCCGGCCCTGGCCTCTGGGTGTGCATATGTGGCTACAGCCCCTCGGCCCTGGCAGGGCCTGGCCCCATGTGCAGAGCAGCCAACCCAGCATCCTCATGCCTGTGTCCCCAGAGCTGCCTGGTGTACAACGACACCACCATGGTGTGCCGGGCCCCATCGGTGGACAACCCTTCCCGCAGCCCGCCTGAGTTGGGGGAGCGGCCTGAAGAACTGGGCTTTGTCATGGACAACGTGACCGCCCTACTTGTGCTCAACACCTCCTCCTTCCTCTATTTTCCTGACCCCGTGCTGGAGCCACTCAGCCCCACCGGCCTCCTTGAGCTGAAGCCTAGCTCCCCACTCATCCTCAAGGTGGGCCTCAGTCAGTGGGCAGGAGTGTGGGCGGTGGTGGGGCAGGGCACAGGCCGAAGGGACTCTCTGGCTCACTGCCACCCCCACCAGGGCCGGAATCTCCTGCCACCAGCACCCGGCAACTTGAGGCTCAACTACACTGTGCTCATTGGCTCCACACCCTGCACCCTCACTGTGTCCGAGACACAGCTGCTCTGCGAGTCACCCAACCTCACGGGGCAGCACAAGGTCACGGTATGTCCATGACCACATGATCGGTGCCTCAGCCCTGGCTCTGGTCTCCTGGGTCCCTGCTGCCTTTGACCTGCTAACTTAGTTTCACTCAGGGAAACCCCAACTCTGTGACGGAGCCCCAGACTGGCCTTCTGCCCAGAGGGAGCCCATCTTCAGTGTACGCCCCAACTCATCCCTCACCCAGTCCTTGTGCCCCTTGGTGGGCCTAGTACCTATCCTGGGTCCCCAGTGTTCCCATTCCTGCTGAGCAGTCCAGGAGCAGATGCTGTGGGGATCTTGAGGGTAAGGGACCAGGAAATTCTGAGTGGGCATGTCACATTTTGAGCAACCTGCATCCCCACCCCCAGGTTCGGGCTGGTGGCTTCGAATTCTCACCAGGCATGCTGCAGGTGTACTCAGACAGCCTACTGACCCTTCCCGCCATCGTGGGTATTGGTGGGGGCGGAGGCCTCCTGCTGCTGGTCATCGTGGTCGTGCTCATTGCCTATAAGCGCAAGTCTCGTGATGCTGACCGCACCCTCAAGCGGCTGCAGCTCCAGATGGACAACCTGGAGTCCCGCGTGGCCCTCGAATGCAAGGAAGGTCTGTTGGGCCCCTGAGCAGGGGAACATGGGTTCCAAGGGTGCAGGGCTCACTGGGGGTGCTGCTACTTCAGAGCCAGGGCCCATCTGCTTGCTGATTCCACTCAGTTTACAACATTCCTGATAGCCTCACTTGGTGCCAGGTTTGGTCCCAGGGAGGTAGGCAGGGGCCTTCCTGGGGCCTGGGCCCTTGGGGCAGGTATGGCTTCTGTGGAGAGTTGCCTACAACACAGAATCTGTAGCCAGAGAGCCCGCATCTGAGCCTCATCTTGGCTGTAGAACCTTGGATGGACATGTAATCATTTTGTGTCTCAGTTTCTTTCTTTTTTTTTATCTTCACCCGAGGACATTTTTGCATTTATCCTCAGAGCAGAAGGGAGAGATGGGGGAAGAGAGAGAGAAACATCGATGTGAGAGAGATACATTGAGTATTTGCCACCCACACAACTCCAACTGGGGCAGGGACAAACTGCATCCGAGGTACATGCCCTTAGCGGGAACCGAACCCGGGAATCTCTGGTCTGCGGGCCGACGCTCTAACTGCTGAGCGAGACTGGCCAGGCCTGTGTCTCAGTTTCTTATCTGTAGGATGGGCGCAGTGCAGGTGCTCACTTCACTGGGTGCTGTGAGTATCCAGATGGCCTGTGCAGAGCCTGCAGGGCAGTGCAGCATGTGTAGTTGTGCTAGTGTGGTGTCTTCATGCCTGTGGCTGGGTGAGGTACTGAGGAATGGGGCCTTTTCTTTATTTGTCAGCACATGCAGACCCTGGCCTTGGGCTAGGCTTTGTGCTTGAGGAACCCTTTCTCAGGGCCACAGCCTGTCCTCTCAAAATGGGGCATATGTCACCCTGGTCAGTTTGAATCAGTGGTTAGAGCATCAGCCCTTGGATCAGAGGGTCATGGGATCAATTTCTCGTCAAGGGCACATACCTGGGTTGCAGGTTTAATTCCTGGCCCTGGTTGGGATCAGTGCAGGAGGTAGCCAATTGACATGTCTCTTTCATGTTGATGTTTCTCTGTCTCTCTCTTTCTCCATTCCTCCTTTTCATTCTACAAATCAATGGGAAAATATCCTCAGGTGAAGATTAAAAAAAAAAAGGGGGGGCATGTGTACGTCATGACCCTGGAGTATGAGCGGCAGAAATCAGCTCTGACTGGCTTCTGCAGAGTGCTCTGGCTTCCAGAACATAAGCCTGTCAGATTCTTTCGTCTTGGGACTCCTCTCTCCCTGTGGTGACAAGATGGCCACAGTGGGCGAGCTTAGCTTCCCTCCTGTGCCCAACTCCAGCCAATTTCTGATGTCATACCTGGTCACATGCCCCCTCAAGCCTGTGTCCCTGAAGCCCCTGAAGGGGGTGGACCACAGGGCAGGCGAAAGTGGTCCAGAGAGTGGGATGGGTTCTGGCAGGCAGAGAGGCTGCAGATATCGGAAATGGGTGAGCAGTGGGCTAGGGGTCAGCAAGTTGCAACAGAGGGCATCCCCAGGGGCAGCACAGTGGTTGCTTGAGGATTGGGTTCAGCTTTCATGCATGTGCCTCTTCTCACAATGGTCAGCTTCCGTTGCTGTGGCCTCAGCCCACGATCATCAGCTTCCGTTGCTGTGGCCTCAGCCCACGATCATCAGCTTCCATTGCTGAGTATGAAATGGTGCCTCAGGGCTGGGTTCCCAGCAACAGGCCAGCCTAGGGCAGCCCCCATGCACTCATGGTCTTGGACTCTCTGTGCATGTCTCTGAGCATCATCTAAGGAGTCTGGGGCTGTTAACGAGGGGTGAACAGAGCAGCACTGGTAATAATCAACAGTTATTGGATATCTATGAGATACTAGGCATGACCCTGAGCATTTTTGCTGATATTGACTCACAGTTCTAGAAGGCAGACACTAGCAGTATTCCTGTTTTCGAATGAGGAAAGGGAGCTAAGTGGCAGGGTGGGTTTTGAACTGCTGCATAAGGGCCTTGAGGCCATAATGAGCTTGGCATCAGGTTATTCTAGTGGAACCAAGGTGTCCATTTACCAAGTACCCTGCCAGTCTTGGGAGCCCCCTCCCTCCTGGACAAACCTGCCTACCCACTGGGCAGCCCTGATGGGGCATAAGCAGGTGTACAGGAACTGGAGGGCAGTTCTTCAGGCAGGAATCTCCATTGGGGTGAGGACTGATGCCCACTGAGGTGGGTGTCTGTGAAGCATGTGTAGTTGCAACAGCTGGCGGGCATTCTAGGGCAGTCAGGTAGAGCTAACCAGAGGCCTGGCAGCGGCACTGAAGAGATGAAGGCCTGGCTCTTAATTCAACCTGTCAGCCATTGCCCAGAGCCTGCCAGGTGCTCCTCTGACTCCTGATCAGATAGCTCATTCCTTGGGTTGCTGCAGGTCAATACCTCTCACTTTTGGAATGTTTCTGTCACAGCCTGCACCTGACTGCCTTTATTTTTCAAAGAGACAGAGCCCCCTGGAGTGGGCAGGCAGTGCATTTGGCCTGAGCTGTGCATTTGGTGGTTGTCAGTGTGGAAAGCTGTGGAGAGTGGCACAGTCCCTGGATCCTGGCACTTCCGTCCCCCACCGTCTCCCTCACTTGGACATGCCTCTTCTCTTCCCAGGTGGTTGAGTCCAAGGGAGCCAGGGCAGATGTTCTTCAGGTGGCTAAGAGTTGACACCCATAGTTACTCTCCCCCCCAATGCCAGTATGAGGTATGGGACACCTCAGAGCTTGGACCTTGTCCCAGTACCTTCTCTGCTCTTATCTTGGCTAATCCAGGTACAACTCTGAGAAACACAGGGGTTTTATTCCTGTGTTAGAATTAGAGAAACTGAGGCATAGGCAGGTACAGTAGTACAGTAGTTTTCCTAAGGTCACTCAACCATCGAGCAGCAGAAGCCAAGGTTTGAGCCTGGCCCTGAGTAGGGGTAGGGGAGCTGGAGGCCAGCGGGGCACTTACCTTGATACCTGGTCTGGCCGCAGCCTTTGCAGAGCTACAGACAGACATCCACGAGCTGACCAACGATTTGGATGGTGCTGGCATCCCCTTCCTCGACTACAGGACGTACGCCATGCGGGTGCTCTTCCCTGGGATTGAGGACCACCCAGTGCTCAAGGAGATGGAGGTGGGCTGCTGACCAGGGCTCATCCCGCATCTACCTGAAGGGTTCCTTGGGTGCTGGTGGGCAGCTGGAGAGTGCTGGTAGATCACTCAAGCCTATAGGGAGGGGAACTGGGAAGCAAGGAGGAAGGTCTGGCAGGGGCCCGGAATCAGGGAGGCATATCCCACCAAACCACCCCAGTAGCAGTAGCTAGGCTACTTGGGGCCCTCTAGTCTGTCTCATATACCTTACAGCTCACCTGATCTGTCTCCTGGGTGGTTCTGAATGCCAAGCTTCAATGGGCAGGGATCTGGCCCATGTATGCTGGGCATTGTGAGTACCCAGCTGGAATTCTTATGGCTGTTTGGGGTGGGAGCACATGGCTGAGGCAGCATGGAGGCCGTTTGAGAGATGGGCTTTTTTCTAAAGATGTTGGCAGAGCCCAGGCTGGGTCTCTGCCTGGAGTGGGCTTCTGAGGCAGCTGCCAAGCTACGTTCATTCTGCTGAGGACAGCTGAGGCCTGGACACTGTCAGGCTGTCACCCACCTCTGAGGACTGCTCTCTAGCCCTGCCCTGTCCCATACACCTGGCCTGGACATCCCCTTGGCCAGAAGGCCTCCCCCACCCCCACTTGATGGTACTGGGTACTCTGCTGTGGGTCTGAACAGGCTCCTGTCCTCCTTAGGTACAGGCCAATGTGGAGAAATCACTGACACTGTTTGGGCAGCTGCTGACCAAGAAGCACTTCCTGCTGACCTTTATTCGAACACTGGAGGCCCAGCGCAGCTTCTCCATGCGCGACCGTGGGAATGTGGCCTCGCTCATCATGACAGCTCTGCAGGGCGAGATGGAGTATGCCACAGGTGTTCTCAAGCAGCTGCTGTCTGACCTCATTGAGAAGAACCTTGAGAGCAAGAACCACCCCAAGCTGCTGCTGCGGCGGTGAGCCCACACCTCCTATCTGCCGACACCAGAGGCCCTGCTGGGTGCTCAGCCCAGGGATGTTACTGTTGTGGTTCTTGGGGAAGCCTCAGCTTCCTCTGACCAGATATTGGTAGTAGGGATCAGGTGTATTGAGCATGGGGCTCTACTCTGGGGCTATCAGTCCTGGGCCTGAGTCATGCTCAGAAGCCTGCTCTGGGGCTAAGGGCTGCAGTCCCCACCACAATCCCCTAGCCCATGGGTGCCTTTCAAAGCATGGCCTTTAGTGCTGTAGGAAAGGGTGGGGATGGGCATGTTTTGTGGGCCTGGCAGTGGAAGTTATGTCACCCCTTCCTCTGTCTGTCTCTAGGACTGAATCAGTGGCAGAGAAGATGCTGACCAACTGGTTCACCTTCCTTTTGTACAAATTTCTCAAGGTAGGTGGGCTGGGGAGGAAAGAATGTCAAGAGGGTGTTGGGGACAGATAGATGGGTGTGAGGAAAAGAGGAGACCAGAAATGAACAATTTCAGCCCAGAATGGCTCAGGGGCTGGGGCCTCGGCATAAACTCCCCCAGGACATGCACCCATTTGCCTCTTTCCTGACTCTCCGACTCTCCATGAGGCTGTCCAGGCCTCACCCAGCCACCGAGGCAGGAATGGACACCCCGGCTCTGAAGCAAGTTATCTTGGGCCTCATGGCCAGTGTGCAGCTGAGCTGGAGTTTGGATACAGGCCCAAGTCTCTGCACTGTACCCATAGCCTCGAGCCAAGGATGAAGGGGGACATCCTGGCAGGGGCCTCCATGTGTCTAGCTCTGGGCCAGCCTGGGGAGATGTCTTAGGGCCCTTGTTGGCTCTTGTTGTGGGTAGAGGTTTCCCAGATAAGCCCCTATTCAGGCTTGGGAGAGTTCCCCCATCCCTAGGAAACAGGCCCTGACCTGTGGCCATCCTCAGAATGGGGTGGAGGCCAGAGGATACAAACTGCAGCCCTGAGCTAGAGGTGGGTCCAGGTGGATCCAGTTCAGGCTGCACTTAGAAAGTGGGAGATCACTCAGACCCAGTACCTGGCTTCCCTTGAAGTTTGAAGGCTTTGGTAGACATTCTCGCAAGACGGGGCCCCAGGCCAAGCTGGGGATGTGTTCATGAATGCTTCCACTCATGTCTCTGACTTCTGTAGACACTCTGCAGATGGACCACACGATGGGCAATGGAGTCTAGTGGCCTTTCTGTCCCTGTGGTTGCTTCTTAGCCATGGAACTTCATTTCCTGTGTCCCTACTGAATCAGGGACATCTGAGGGAGCTTCAGTCCTCCACTCAGAATGCTCCTGGGCCCAGGTGTCTCAGAGGTGCCCAGAGCAGAGTTCTGCCTGGCTGGAAAGAGATGGTAATTGGGAATCAGGACACATGAAAAAGGAACAGATGTCAAGAGGGTGGGTGAGGTTTGAGCAAGGAAGGAGAAGGGAAGGAGTTAGCAAGGCAGAGGGAGCAACAGCTCTGAGGTGGTGTGAGGTACAAAGCAGCTGAGTGTGAGGCAGGGAAGGACAGCCTGGGGCAGGGCTTATCTGGGAAAATCTGGGCCTGTGGAGAGAGTCCAGTAAATGCTAGGGTTCTTGTTATGCTAAACTGGGAGCCAGTAATGCAGAGCTGTGCATTTTCTGTAAAATTCTGTGTGATGTATTTACATGCTCATTAAATTGCATTCTGGAAGCCAGAAGAAACAAGGTTTAGAGAACACAAATCACTGGATCTGAGCTGTCTTAGCTTCATCCACCCCTGTCTGCTCCTGAGTTTCTGCAGGCAGAGAAAAGGGACTCAGCTTGACAGACCCAGTCTGAGGACCTGGATTGGGTATGTGTTCTGTGTAATGCCAGGTGGAGGGTAAGGCTGCAGAAAGTAGGGCAAGTGGGGCTGGCACAGGATGTGGAAGGCAAAGCAGCTGAGTAGGCACTGCTGTCAGGGAGCTGTGCTTTGGGTTCGAGAGTGGGGGCCAGTTCATGGAGGGTCAGGTGGAGTACTGGATAGAGGGAGAAAGAGGCCAGGCCTGGCCAAGGGAGCAGAAAGGAGGGCTATATGGAGGGGAGGGCAGAGTGTTGGGAGCCACAGGCCAAGCTGACTGGCCCATCCTCGTTTTCCCTAGTGAGGTTCCATCAAAGAAGCTGAGCAGGGCCAAGGTGTTCTTCCATCTGCTCAGAGCACTCCCCTACTCACAAATTATGTTTGCCCCTTCACCATATGAATGAAGAAAGGTGCTGGGCAGGAAGAACTGGCCCAGGGCCATTCGATGGAGGTGGCTACGCTGACATTATCTGCTCATACCTGACAATGGCCCAGGCTGCTCCTGTCTACATTAGCTGGCCACTGACTTCTTTGTGCCACAGAATATTTTATTTTTTTCAAGGTATGCAGTCATCCCTCTGTTATCTGTGGGTTCTACATCCATGGATTCAACCAACCACAGATCAAAAATATTCAGGAAAAGAGATGTTACATTGTTACTGACTTGTTACTGTGTAGTTAGGCCTATGATGGTTGTGCCTACTGAACAGGTACAGACATTTTTTCTTGTCATTATTCCCTAAACAATGCAGTATAACAACTATTTCCACAGTATTTACATTGTATTAGGTATTATAAGTACTCTAGAAATCACTTAAAGCGAACAGGAGGATGTTTGTAGGTTATATGTAGGTACTATGCCACTTTATTTAAGGAACTTGAGCATCATGGAGTTTGTAATGGGAGAGGTCCTGGAACCAGTCACTGTGGGTTCTGAGGGTCAACTGCACTGTATTATTTTTTCCAGTTTTAGTAAGAAATAATTGACATATGTCACTGTATAAGTTTAAGGTACACAGCCTGATAGTTTGATTTACATGTATTGTGAAATTACCACAAAAGGTTCAGTTAACATTAGCATCTCATATAGATACAAAAAAAATCTCGAGATAACACAACTTTTTTTCTACATTGGTCCATGTTTTGACTGGATAGACTTTTTTTAAGAGCAGTTTTAGTTTCCTAGCAAAATCGAGCAGAAGTTAGAGATTTCCATGAATCTCATGTCCTGTTACAGCCTCCCCATTATTACATATTACACCAGGGTGGTGCATTGGTTCCAACTGATGAACCTGTGTTGAAATAATATTATTCCCCCAAAGCTCATAGTTCATGTGAGAGCTCACTCTGGGTGCTGTACATTTTGTGGATTTGGACAAATGACAGTGACCTGTATCCACCATTACAGTGTTAGAGAGTAGTTTCATTGCCCTAAAGATCCTGGTGCTCTACCTCTTAACCAGGCAGCCACTGATACCTGACTGTCTTCATAGTTTTGCCTTTTCCAGAATGTCCAGTAGTTGGAATCATATAGTATGTAGCCTTTTCAGACTGTCTTCTCTCATGTAATGTACATTTGAGGTACCTCCATGTCTTTCCATGGCGCAATAGATTATTTCTTTTCAGTGTGTCACAAGTTGTTTTTAAACACCCAGATCCCCTTCTTTCTTTGCTGTCTTTAAAAACAAAACAAAGAAGTTAACTGGAAAAGTAACCTGTGCTCATTTTAGCATCCTAAACAGCACAGAAGTGAGTATAAAGGTCTGAGTTCCCCCTACTCCCCCCCCCCCACCCCTACTATCTGGAGATAACAACCATCGGTATTTTGATGTGTGTCCTTCCAGGCTGGTTTCTGAACTGAAGCAAATATCTATAAATAGTATGCTTTGGATATAAGAAGAAATCCTAGTACTGTACCTTTTCTTCATTATAGGTTTTTTCCCATTTTAATGCCATACATTTTACATTACACTGTGCTTCCCTCGCCTCAGGCAAAGGTATCACGGCCACTCTTTGCAGGTCTGGAAATATGTGGTTATCTCATTCCTTTTTTTTTTTTAATTCGTTTATTTTTGTTACAGACGTCACTCCTTTTCCCCCCACTGGTCCCCCCCTCCTCCTCCCTCCCGACCCTGTCCCCAGTTTGTTGTGCATGCCCACTGTTCATGCATACATGCATATAAGTTCTGTGGTTTATCTCTTCCCCACCACCCCCTCTTCTGGGGGTTGTCAATCTGTACCCCACTTCCACATCCCTGGGACTACCCCATTCCTCAGACTGTTATGTTCATTATATTCCACAAATAAGTGAGATCATATGATACTTGTCTTTCTCTGTTTGGCTTGTTTCGCTTAGGATGACACTTTCCAGGTCCCTCCATGATGTCTCAAAGGATAAGAGATCTTTCTTAGACCTATATAGTACTCCATTGTTTATATGTACCACAGCTTTTTTATCCATTCGTCTACTGGTGGACATTTGGACTGTTTCCAGATCTTAGCTATTGTAAATAGTGCTGCTACAAACATGGGGATACATATATTCTTTCTGATTGGTGTTTCAGGCGTCTTAGGATATATTCCTCGAAGTAGGATCACTGGGTCAAATGGAAGTTCAATTTTTAATTTTTTGAGGTAACACCATATTGTTTTCCATAGTGGCTGCTCCAGTCTGCATTCCCACCAGCAGTGTATTAGAGTCCCCTTTTCTCCACACCCTCGCCAACACTTGTTGTTGGATGACTTGTTGATGGCGGCCATTCTGACAGGTGTGAGGTGATACCTCATTGTTGTTTTAATTTGCATCTCTCTGATGATTAGTGATGTTGAGCATTTCTTCATATGTCTCTTAGCCATTTGTATGTCCTGTTTGGAGAGGTGTCTATTTAATTCCTCTGCCCATTTTTTAATTAGATTCTTTGTCTTCCTTTTGTGGCGTTGTATGAGCACTCTATATATATCGGAAATTAAACCCCTTTTCTGTTATATCATTGGCAATTATGCTCTCCCATACAGTGAGTTCACTTTCCATTTTGATGATTGTATCTTTGCTGTGCAGAAGCTTTTTAGTTTGATGTAGTTGCATGTGTTCATTTTCTCCTTTGTTTCTGTTGTCTTAGGTGATGTATTAGTAAAAATTCTGCTGTGTATGATGTCTGAAATTTTGTTGCCTACATTTTCTTCTAGAATTTTTATGGATTCACGGGTCACATTTAAGTCATTTATCCATTTTGAGTTTATTTTTGTGCATGGTGTAAGTTTTACTTTTTTGCATGTAGCTGTCCAATTTTCCCAACCCCATTTATTAAAGAGGCTGTCTTTATTCCACTGTATGTTCTTGCCAACTCTGTCAAATATTAATGGAGCATATTGCCTTGGGTCTTTTTCTGACTTCTCTGTTCTGTTCCATGGGTCTTTATGCCTGTTCTTGTGCCATTACCAGCCTGTTTTGATTACAGTGGCTTTGTAGTATAAGCTGAAATCTGGTAATGTGATCCCTCCAACTTTGTTCTTCTTTTTCAAGATTGCTGTGGCTATTCAAGGTCATTTTTGGTTCCATATGAACTTTTGAAGTATTTGTTCCAGTTCTGTGACATATGT